GGGATATGTTATACTATGATAAATATGTACCTTACGAAAAACCTTGTTACACTTTTTCCTCGGTCTGTCGACCTGTCTGTGTGTCTGCCTGTATATCCGCTAATCTTTAAAAAACCTGAGAAGTACCGCTCGGATTTTGATTAAATAAAATTTTCACACAAGACTATCCTGTGCCAGTGATCAAAAACAAAATTTTCTTTTATAGAACTGGCAGAGTTCCGTGTTTTTGAAACACCTTACACTAGTTCAGTAATTTCCCGTAAAAGAATATCAAACATCGAAATGGCACGTGCCTCGTCCTGTCATTTGTCTAAGGTAAATACTCCCTCATCTACTTCTTTATCCTTGTCCGTAGTGCTATGGTCGATTTTTGCAGAGAGAAACCCATTAAGACACTGGCAGTTAAAGCATGACTACATGCAAAACAATACGTAAAAACTGCAAAATGCGATTCTGTTGACAATTCTAGAGTGAGCTCCTCCAGGTCATGCGAAATTTTTGCTCTGAACGTTCAAATTATTTCAAAGTGTGGACTAAAAGAACGTGAATATACACACTCCTTTTGTCAAAGGAACATACAATATTATGCAGTAGTGCCGATCTGACGACCAAGTTGAAACAGCCGTGAAATTGACAACGCCATCCCAAGGCTACTGTTAATCAGTGTAAAAGTTTTGTATAGCTGGATCGATTTTTTTTAGTTTAATATACCGTTACCTTTGGCTTTGTAATGCATATGGTAACATAGTGTGTATCTAAACGACCCACTTAAGACTCACTTATCTCTTTTGCAACTTGGGAATAATTCCATCTTGTATCCAAAATTTATTTCGTAACGAAGTATGTATATTAAATTTAGACAATGATATCAAGTAATGGATAGTTGCATCATGCTTTTCAATTGTCTAATCTATCGCAGAGCAACTGATCATAAAATTTCATAATCATCCATGTTAATCAGACGGCTAAACGAGTACCACTTATGGTTGAAATACTGGTTAGGATGCTTCGGACGTCATGATGGCCTTTTTTCAAGGAGGTAAACACGACAGTTCTGATGACTATACGGTGTCCGAAACGTCGAACATGGAGAACTATCTCACAATAAGTTTCACGTGCTACAAAAAACCTATCTAAGGTGCTAGTAGCTATTTAAGTACGACGAAGACTATATGTAGATAGGAGGTTGAACTACATAAAGGATACACATATTCGTATGAAGCCTATCCTGTCGCCAAGGACGGTGCGTTCTCGGAAATCTAGTGAGTGTATTGAAACATTTGAAAAAATGTCAATAAAACATGCCGCAATCTTTATTTGCTTTATGCTGATCAACTTTCAGATTGGCTGAATACTCTACAATTTTGGTAATCCTTTTCAACAACACAACGGTCATATCGCACATGTATATACAGGGTGACTTTGAAGTTGAGTCATTAATTTTCAGATAATGATTGTAGAAGGAAGATGAATAAAAATATGTGTATAAAAATAAAAAAAAAATAAAAAAAATGTTACCTTGTTTTATAAAGTATCCTCCCGACAAGTATTTCAGTGCGAACCTGTATTTGATCGTGCGGTCTTGGAGCACCGGCATGCCCTCTCCTGTGAGGTCTTAAGTCACCTGATTCACGAGCCCTTTGCACTACATTAACAAAGGCACGAGGGGTTGGTTGCACTCGATTGGGAAACCAATCCACATAAATCCGTGATGCCGCGGCAGCATTTTGTAAAGACTCCCCCCCCGTAAATAAGAATCATGTCCACAAGTTCAGCATTTTCGTAAACATGTGCCATTTTTTATTTCGTTTGAGCCACGCAACAAACACCACTATTCATTCACGCGTTACCGACTGACACATTGACTGAATACAACTGAATAAAATTGTAGTAAAAACATCGTGATAAGCGTTTCAAATTCTTTCGCTTTTTTGTTTCCGATGCGATGAACCGATAAGGCGGATTATATCCGTTGTTGCCAAACACGAGCACATAATATTATTATTGAGACAGGGCGGTACTCAAACTTCTAAAGGGCTATAACTTTGTTACTTTAATTTCACCAGAAAAATGTTAACCCGTAACCACAGACGCGGAGTCAATTTGACTCCTTGCAAGTACTTGGTGGGGAATTTCTCGTTTTCTCCTCACTCTATCTGACCAGGCGTAGACGTACCTTTTCATCGAGTAGTATTGAACTAGCGCTGAGACGGTTGCGTTGTTTGTGTACGTTATTTACATTTCATTACGACTTGTCTTTTCGGCGGAGTCAAAAAGACTACAGGTCTGTGACAATGTTATATTTTTGTTACTGTATTTCGTGAATCTGTTCGATTAATTTTAGGTTTTTATGATGGATTTTGATAGCACAGCTGGTCCGTCAAGGAGAGTTAGATATGGGGATCCGGACTTCGAAGAAACTTTGCTGAAATTGGCGGATGAGGTCGATGAAGACGACAGTGATATTGATTCAGATGCCGAATTCATTTACAGTGATCATGAGAGCGGATCGGAACAAGATATGGACGCAGATTGTGAAAGACTTTCTACTGAAGACGATGAGACATCGATCGGCGCTCCTACAGGAAACTATTTCTATGGAAAAAACCGTTTCAAATGGTCCAAAGTACCCCCATATTCTAAAAATACACGTACTTTGCAACACAATATTGTATTCAAGTCTCCGGGTGTAAAAAGTATAAATCTTCACAAAGCCGATCCAGAAGAGGTTTGGAATCTTTTCTTTGATGACCGCCAAATTCAGATTATTCTTCAGTACTCCAATTCACGTATGGCAAAATTGAGAGAAAAGTATAAAAACAAAAACTCAAGTGATACTCGTGACTTAGATGTTATTGAGCTGAAGGCTTTTATTGGACTGCTTATGCTTACAGCTATCTTTAAATCTAATCACGAAGACATTCGTTCAAATTTTGCGACGGATGGATCGGGTAGAGATATATTCAGATGTGTGATGAAATCAAATCGTTTTGCTATTATTCTTGTATGCTTACGATTCGATGACCCAGAAACTAGACTCGAACGTAAAAAGAATGTCCAATTAGCTCCAATCTCTGAGATATTCAATGCTTTCATTAAAAATTGTCAAAGCGCTTACACTCTAGGTACAAATATGTGTATAGATGAAATGTTAGTTTCATTTAGAGGACGCTCAAAATTTAAAATGTACATGCCAGCAAAGCCTTGTAAATATGGATTAAAAGTTATGGCTTTGACCGACGCTAGAACTGAATATCTGGATATAATGCATATATTTATTGTGGCAAAGATTCGGATGGTTTCGACCTGTCTGATACTGAAAAACTATATTCCAAGCCCACGCAAGCAGTGCTCAAACTTGCTAAGCCAATTTTCGGCACGCACAGACACATAACTGCCGATAATTGGTTTACTTCCATAGAATTAGTAAATTTACTAAAAAGTAAAGGCCTGACCTACGTTGGAACGATAAAAAAAAATAAAGGTGAAATTCCAGTTAGTTTTCTACCAAACAAACAAAGATCTATAGGTTCTAGTTTGTACGGTTTTACCAGTGACATTACCCTACTCTCTTACGTTCCAAAGAAGTACAAGGCTGTTTTATTGGTCTCCTCAATGCACCATAATGAAGGAAAGGTAGGGGAATCCGGCAAACCCGAAATAATTGACTTTTACAATCTAACAAAAGGGGGGTAGATAGCATAGATGAAAAGTGTAGTGTTTATTCGACGGGTCGAAGAACGCGGCGTTGGCCAATGGCACTTTTTTATAGAATGCTGTCAACTCTTTTTTGGTTCATCAGTCATGCCGAGATAATGTCGAAATGAAACGTTTCAATTTCAATAAACATCTTGCAATGCTGCTAGTGGAACCAGAAATGAGACGTCGTTTTCAAAATATGCGCATCAGAATGTGTCAGAAGTCAGAATGTGTATTGGTCGGGTTTTAAAAATAGAAGACCATACTGCTAACCAGGAAGAAAAATTTGAGGTCAGAAAATAATGCAAACGTTGTCCAGCTAAAAAAAGACGAAAAACAGCACACTCCTGCATAATTTGTAAAATCCCAATATGTATGGATTGCACTAGAAGAGTTTGCGTGGACTGTGCAAAATGAAAAAATAACTTGGTAAAACCTACTGCACGTTTCGAGAATATTACTTTCACGTTAATTTATAATCATTGTAAGTATTCTGTTTTACGTTTTTAACGAGTTTTGTATGAAAAGTAATTCGCATTTCATTTTTTTATCCTAAAAAGGTACCAAAGATGTTATTGTAAATATTCACGAAAATTGTGTGCAATAAATATATTTCTTCAAAACTTGGTTGCTTTTTACTGACGAAAATTGTTATTAAAAACAATATTAAAACAATTCTATTTAAGTAATATAAGATAGAGGTAAACTTGTTTTTATTTTTCAAATAGGCTTTCCATGGCTTCCAATATAGGAGTCATTTTGACTCCACGTCTGTGGTAATGTTCAATTGATTAGACGTCTGTGGTTACGGGTTAAAGGAGAAAAACGTTTCTTTTGATCAGATCTACTCACTGTTAAAATAAATGACTCAACTTCGAAATCACCCTGTATAGTGTGTTCAACTGCGGTGGAAAAAGTTGAAAATGATGAAGAGCAGCGTCGAACAATTTTTCAAAGTCGACGCAAAGAGCTACTGCAGGCAAACAATAACATATTATTATCCCGTACAGTGCGAAAACCTTATTTCACTTCCATTTTGCGATGCTTTGTAGGTGTATAACTTCGTGGTTCATTAATATTATCCGATATTTCTGCTTGCAACTCCTCCGAACTGTCAAAACAAGACTTGCTTACAGTCATGATGACACAAACAGAGAAAAGTGCCGAGTGCGCAGAGCGTGAAATTTATTTCCCGCGCAGTGTGCTAGCTTCCTTCATCGTCGACAATTTTATCTTCACCCCCACTCTATGAATTCAACCTCCTATCTCTGGTCTTTGTGTTAAGTGCTTATGATACTTACAACTGGGTCAGCTTTATACATGCACATGTTGAAGTTTGAAGCTTTCTCACACAGATCCGCCCCAGCTGAAAGAAAAATCAGTTAGGCCTAGCGTTTATCGGTGATGTTAGGTCACCATAGGGAGGCAGAGCAAAAGGTGTATCGAGCCACCGTTGTCATTTAATATTCCTTATGATGTTTTACCTGTGTTTGTTTTTATTTGTGGTGACACAGCGTATATTATAATAGCGACTTCCCTAATGACGCATTTTGATATGGTCGAAATACATACCGTCAATCACCCTGCATTTGCTTATCGCAGCTACAAGTAGATCTTTGATCTGAGGATGTGCTGTGTCAATGATGAAATCATATTGGATGGTTCCATCTGCGCCCATCTGAAATCAATCAAGCACAAATTACAACAAATACCAGTGACACTTTGAGTATTAGTTTAGGTTTGCCAGTTTGACTATTCCTTTCAACTAACAATTCATGTTTTGTAAATAGCCTAACGACGTTTACAGAACTACATTTATAAAATAGCAATGCTGCTATCAACGTTCTAACAACATTTACAAAACGCTTATAAACTCAAAAGTTTTTCTTTAATTTGTTTTACCATGGCTCCCACAGCTTTTTCCCTTTAATTGTTTAAACGTTTTCAAAATTATTATAAATCATGGTATGCAACAATAATAAATCTACACATGGACTCCAACCAACATTCTGGGCAAAAAAGAGGTGTCATTTAAAATATGATAGACCTGTGAACCTCAATACCTGCAGGGGAAACTGGATCATGTTAACATGGTTTTACAAGCAAACGGCTATCGCAGGGAACAAATAGAACAGGTTTCACGACAAAAAAGCAGACCGCCGGCAGGAGACAAGGAACCACCTGCGGCAGTCTCCTTCCTACCATCCATTAAATGCATCACGGATAGAATAGGAGGGTTGCTGCATAAATACGACGTCAAGACCATTTACAAGCCGACAAATAAAATCCAGCAACTCTTAACATCAGTAAAGAACCCTAGGGATCCCCTGAGCGGTGCCGGCGTATACAGAATACCGTGTTCCTGTGGTAAAGTATACGTAGGCACCACTAAACGTAGCTTTCAAACACGCATCAAGGAGCATGAAAGAAACTGTCGACTGGGACAAACTGATAAATCAGCGGTGACCGAACACGCACTCCAAGACGGCCACAATGTTCTGTTCGACCAAACTGAAGTCCTATCAGCATCCAGCCACTACTCAGCCCGAATGTACAGAGAAGCAATTGGAATCTACGAACACAATCATAATTTCGATAGAGAAGAAGAAGGCCTTGCTTTAAACAAAACGTGGTTCCCAATTCTAAAATACACAGCGCAAAAGCCACGTCACTCAAGGGGCCCAGAGACCCCCACCAGACAGCTCAGTCCTCAGTCCACCGATCGCCTATAAAACCGCACGCTCATCCAGTTAACTGATCAGTTTCAGTCGACACACCAAGCCGAACACTTCTCTCTCACCGACAGCGTCACTGAAGATGGCTACCGCAGATGTAGCCGAAAGCTCTGGACCAAATGCAACCCGACCACGGCTAAACAGCCCGAAAAACCTGAATTACAATAATAAAACGCTTTTATTGAGCTGAAATGTAGTAGTTTTATAAAAGGTATTTTATTATCTTTGCAATGTGATGGGTGATATTTTACTGCGCAAGCATTTTTTCTGTATAATATATGGAATACATTTAACCAAATTTTTAAGCGCATCAATTTTTTGGGGAAATGTCGATATTTTTATTTTGTGCTTTTTTGCTATTCTGACCTGTATTGTAATAACACAATTGTGAACCGTTTCATATAATTATTTAAACAATAAAGTAGTTAGTTAAGACTTAATGTGAATTTCAATGCTTAACCATCCCCAGTCTTAAAATTAAACAAACTTAAAACCGTTCCGGAATAATCTGGAATAATGAATGCCTTATTCATTTTATAAACATATGAACACATGCTTTTGTTTTATAATTTTCATATACAGGGTGACTTTGAAGTTGAGCCATTAGTTTTCAGATAATGATTGTAGAAGGAAGATAAACCAAAATATGTGTGTAAAAATTAAAAAACAATTTAAAAAAAATGTTACCTTGTTTTATAAAATATCCTCCCGACAAGTATTTCAGTGCGGACCTGTATTTGATCGTGCGGTCTTGGAGCACATACCCTCCCGTGTGAGGACTTAAGTAAAATTTTTTTACCTTGTTTTATAAAGTATCCTCCCGACAAGTATTTCAGTGCGGACCTGTATTTGATCGTGAGGTCTTGGAGCACCGGCATGCCCTCCCCTGTGAGGTCTCGAGTCACCTGATTCACGAGCCCTTTGTACTACATTAACAAAGGCACTAGGGGTTGGTTGCACTCGATTGGGAAACCGATCCGCATAAATCCGTGTTGCCGTAGCAGCATTTTGTAAAATCAGAATCATGTCTACAAGTTCAGCATTTTCGTAAACATGTGCCATTTTTTATTTCGTTTGAGCCACGCAGAAACACCACTCACGCGTTACCGACTGACACATCGAATGAATACAACTGAATAAAATAAATGAATAAAATATCGTGATAAGCGTTTCAAATTCTTTCGCTTTTTTGTTTCCGATTATATCCGTTGTTGCCAAACACGAGCACATATTATTGAGACAGGGCGGTACTCAAACTTCTAAAGGGCTATAACTTTGTTACTTTAATTTTACCACAAAAATGTTAAAGGAAAAAAACATTTCTTTTGATCAGATCTACTCACTGTTAAAATAAATGACTCAACTTCGAAGTCACCCTGTATATAGCTTTTATTATCACGGTGTTAATGAACTATATAAAATAATAAGGTACCAGCTGAGTGAAATATGCTTTAGCGAGCGATAATATCAGAAAGAAAATATTAATAAATTAATTTTATCAATGATCCACAATTTCTTTGATGTTCGGAAACGAATAAACTCGTATCAGGTAATACCAGTATAAACCTGTTATGAAACAAATTTGTTCAGTAGACTTAAATGTCACATAAAACTGCGGTGTAAAGTTTAATAAAACAGTATTAAGATTTGTCGTGGAACTATTTTGAATTCTTGCTCTATGAACGTTCTTACGACAACCTTCTAACTTGTCTTAGGTATTATTAGGTGAAATAGCACAGATAGTTGAAAATCATAAAATAAGCGTTATGGTAGTCATTATTTAAATGGGTAATATGGGGTCAAAACAAGTCAACAAGTTCATATGACCCATGGTCCAAAAGTCTATAGATTTTTGTCGAAATGGCTTTATAGTTGACAACTTTAAGTGCCTTATATCGACCACAATCTTACTAATTTTTATAATAGGTATAATCTAAAACGTCTTTAAATTGGGTAATTAACAAATAACTGGCATTAAGTTTTCCTAAGTTAAACCAAAATTTATAGTAAGCAAGTAAGTTTCATTAAATTAATTATTTAAAACGCACATGACACCAGCGCGTCAGTCTTTCATCACTCTTATCGAACCGGCAATCGATCGCAAACGGTAACAGCGGTTAGTTATCGTTTTATCGAGCAGAGCATCGGCCGTGTTGTTTTGTTTTTGTTCTCGTACGTCGTCGTGTTTATTTACAATGTTCTCGAATGTTGTTAGTTAACGGTGAAGCTCGTCAGAATTCAAATCTTGCAACTCAAATTTATCGCGACAGATTTCGCCAACGGGTACACCCAGACAGAAGGACATTTGTGCAAGTGTACCAAAGACTTCGAGATACAGGAAGTGTTCAGCCCACTAATATTCGCAGTCGTGAAAGACTGGTTATTGTAGAGCAGGAGGAACTAATTTCAAATATCGTGGAAATCAAGGCAGATATCAGCATTCGGGAATTAGGCCGCCGCGTACGACTATCGCATACCATAGTCCATAGAATCCTAGGGGAAATTTGCTTTATCCCTACTATGTACAACAAGTGCAGGCCTTGTTACCGGAAGACTATCCTCGCAGACTAACATTCTGTCAGTGGTTTTTGCACAAAACATTGAAAACCCGGATTTTGTTAAAAACATTCTAGCGACGGACGAATGTACTTTTACGCGAGACGGGATATTAAATTTCCATAATACTCACACGTGAACCCAAGAAAATCGTCATACCATTTGTAAAGGTCATTTCCAACAACGATTTAAAATAAATATTTGGGCGGGTATTCTCGACTATCAGGTAATTGGCCTTTTCGAGTTACCCCCAAAGTTGTCAGGAGAAGGATACTTTAACTTTCTAGACAATAGCCTACCAGAACTTTTGGAACAGACCTTCGAAAACATGCCATTACAACGGAGACATGATTTGTGGTTTATTCATGACGGGGCACCAACACACAGTTTTAGAGGCGTCATTCAGTATTTGAATGAACATAATCCAAATCGCTGGATCGGTCGAAATGCTCCAGATCCTCGAGAATGGCCAGCAAGATCTCCTGACAATCCGATGGATTTCTGGTATTGGGGAGAACTTAAAGGGATGGTTTATGGGGCTGGTCCAAAAACAACTGGAACACACCTTTGCGAAAAAAAATTTAATGCGGCTGAGATAATAAATGGACAACTTCGAGGATCTAGAGTAAGAACAAACTAGGTTCGTCGTAATGAAGCTTGTGTGGAAAGTGGAGGACGACATTTTGAACACCTTCTTTAGATACAAAAAAAAGAGCAGTGTGGGTTTTAAAAAGAAAAGCAGTGTATGTATCAAAATTGTGTTCCCTATTTTTAATTGAATTTTTTTAACACGTTCAATAAACTTTCACACACCAGGTGAAGCGCTGAGACAGTTAGTGGTAAGTCAGTTTTTTCAATTGTTTGCATTTTACGAGTACATTATCAAATAATGAAATAATATTTAATTATAATAATTTGCGTCTGGCATTGCGGCGTTGTCAGATTTTATTTTACTTTAAAGTCACTTTTCTTTAAAATAAATGCCGTTTTGACCTCCATGTTATAGGAAACTTTTTGCTTCTTTTAACTCCCTCTATCACCCATTTAAATAATGACTATCATAACGTTTACACCCTGTATATTTGCTAGTTGGATATTATACTACCTATATTCAGGGTGTTACAGAATGTTGTGGAAGAAATTTAAGGGCAAATTCATTCAGAAAAGCGTGTCTATATTTCTAGCGCGCAATAGCGTTGAGGTATCATACAAATATGAGGCGTAAAATGCGCACTCACTGAGATACAGGGTGTTGAAATTATGATTTTGAGATTGAACAAGAGATTCAGAGTTACTTCTTGTTGATATAAAATTGAAAACCAATTCTGATTGAACAGTTCTCCAGAGCGTTTGGTTATTTTCGGTTAAAGAGTTCGTGGTCTATTCTAATAACAATAAACATATTGACGAACTGCTTAAAAAAATACTTTTTGTTTTGGAACTGAGGCAAGTAAACAAAATATTGTTAGACACAGTCTCCAAGTAGAATCAATCTGGCCTTAAGGTACTGAAATACATTAATTTTTTGCAATGCCAATGGCGCGCTGTTTTTTCGCTAGACATAAAATTAATTGGCAACAGGGGCGCGACCGATCTCCATTAAAAAATAGTATTTTTTAAATATTATAGCATGCAGAATCCACCCAATAATTTTGCTGAAAACATTCTGTAATAACCGCTATGCTTGTCTGGCGAATAAAGCTACATTTATTGAAATTCCTTCTTTGCTGTAGTGAACGCTTTAATCACAAAGGTTGATTTATTTGTCTTTCAGGTGTCACCACCGAAGATCACCTTTGTGAATGAAACTTTTACTACAGGGAAGAAGGTCCGTCAATGCATGTGGTTTTATTATACAGGATAAGTTTCAGATGTGACATTAGCATTCTGTAATATCCTGCACATATAATGTTTCTGCATTTAAGTATTAGATGATAAACTTGAACTCACCCATTTGGCTTCCAGCATCAAGCACTTCATGTAACACTGAAAAAATATATCGTTATCATAAAAATACCCCATCATATAACGGAATTAAAAGGAAAAACGAAAACTCTGGTAGTATTATTTGTATTGGTGGTATTTTAAGCTTTATATAGCTCCTATAATTACCATAAGCTTCGGATCGTGAGGATTTTTCTGGATGTCATATGCTGAATGGTCACCTAGAAAAAAGTATGCGAAATGTAGCTTTTTAATCTTACTTAGAGGAATGTGAATAAATTACTCTCTGATATGCCAGTTTTTCCTACGCAGATTTTATGTAGGTCATCCACATATTCTTGTAGTTCAGGTGGGAGCGTTATCTGAAATACAGAAAGTGGCGTATTAAGTCGGTACACTTGCCTTGTATTTATTCAGTGTTAATTACTACTACCTATTTTTTTAAGCTTCAAGTCAAGAAAATTGATAGTATTTATCAATTATCTCTCTATACACCATGAAATAATCAGTCCAAAAGTATTATGAGTACTTTTCTAAACAGCTGTTGGAAAAATGGAATTGCAACTCTAAAAACTTATATACTTTGTGTGCACTCGACTTTTTTTAAGCTTCTTGGTTGTTCGAAGTTTTTAGAACATCCCTAGGTATCGTTTGTGTATAAATAGAGCTTACCCCTCTCATGCCCTATTTCAAATAATAAATCTTAGTGCAGATTACGGAACCTTTTTCAAACTATATACTTACGCAATATCCCATAGAAAAGCTCATTAAAAAATAAATCACACTAGACTTGAATTTCATTTTGCGTTAGTATTTTGTAACGACTGGAAAGAACATAATAGTAGGCTTTGCTTAAGTAGTCCTCAGAAAAGGATGCCACATGACAGGCATGATAATTGCATGCAACGAGATTATAGACCAATCGAATTGCAAGTAACAATTAATACAAAGTTGATGAGCATCTAAGATATATTGATGGACGTCTTGATTTTTTTATTGTTACTTTTCAAAGAAAATACTATGTATTGTTAGATCTGTAGACACGGTGTAATTTGAGATAATTTCAGTACATGTGGATGTTTAATTGTAGTCGATAACCATTCTTGATAGAATTGATGCAAAGGGAGACACAGATAGCTTATATGTACGATAAAACCTTAGACATTTGAATAATGTTGAATGAATAATAAAATGAATACTGCCCACCGCTACCCGCTAGACAGATTCGTTGGTGTGTAGGGAAAAAACTGTTTACACAATGTAACATACTGTTTTATTTACATCTGAGTAGAAAAGAAAGATCAGTCAGTATCATTCTTGTGTCGACCGTTCAATTCCCTGAGCGCTGTTACAGGTGGCCACCCGAACGTTTATCAGGCAGACTTCGGACGCCGCACAGTCCCGGAAGACCCCTTTCTATAATGTATCGCGATTTACATCCCGAAAGACGTCTAGGTCAGCTTAGGCGATCTTGTTCACATACAGGGTAATTCATTGACAGTATAAGTAGGTCTAAAAGTAACGTAAAACTTTCCTGTGAACACAAGTAAAAAAGGTTCCGTTACCTATATGCACAGTGTTGAAAATTCCTACTGCACTGACGAGGCTCATTGAGGACAGAACAAGAACCCTAAAAATAACCCGCAGACTGGTGGGACTACTCGCCCAATGTACATGACATTTGCAATGTCAAATGATCAGGGTCTATAAGCGCGGTTTCTGGCTCTAAAAATAACTTCTTTAAGTTTGTCGAAACTGTGAAATTTTTGCATTTGAATACTTTAGAACATACGTATTTCAAATGTTCGTCACTATTTTTTCAAAATGGCAATTTTTACCCAAGGTTCACCTATTTTAGAGTATCTAACTTCGTACTTTTATATCAGCGCGTGATCGCAACACTTTCAAATCTGTAATGGATTACTCTAAGACACAAAAGTTATACAAGGTAGCCAATATATAACTGACTAATACACGTATTCCAGTAGGTGGCGCCATAGTAGTTGTTTGAAGTATATGTGCGCAATTCATCATGCAGCGCTCCACGATCTCACAACGTGTCCGTACTGTTAAAACGTTCTATTTAAATAATGGGTCGATTGTTGCAACGATTTAGAAGCTACGACAATATTTCGGTCGAAATAATGTGCCCAGTGTCAACACCATTCGTCATTTGATGCCAAAATTTGAACAAATAGCTGAAGTTAAAGACATTCCAAGGTGGGGACATATCCGAACTGTTCGTACGAAAATATTGAGAGAGCTCGTGAAAGTGTAGTGAAGCGCCCTGAGTCGTCTACTAGACATCGTTCTCAAGAATTTGTATTCGTCGCACATCATTATGCACTATCTTAAAAAAAGACTTGCATTTGCGGCCATACAAAATTCAATTAACCCAAGAACTACAGTCTAGTGACTAAGAAAGCCGCCGTCAATACAGTCATGCAATATTGCAGCTTAATATACAAAATAACGATTTTCACCGACAACTGATAATGAGCGATAAAAGCTACTAACCTGATATTATTTTTCATACTCAATTTCTAAGTTTCAATAAAAGATTAAGATGAAAAAATTGACGTATTTTATTTCATTTCACAAATACTCAAGATACAAACCAGTCAGTTACATATCGCCCACCCTGTATAAAGACAGAGATGCTCAACCGCGTCACCCTAAAAACAAAAGTTGAAGCCTAAATATAGTTCAGTATTGATTTGTTTCAACTATTGTTGCATATAGCATAGAGTTCCGGATACCAAGAATAAAAGAGTGGAGACCAAGAGGAAGATGGAAGGTTGCGGTTATGAAAGATTTGAGGAGCAGGAACGTCAGAGACGGGAAGGAACTAGCATTAGACAAGAAGTGGAGGAATAAACTTATTAAGCTTAGTGCCTAAAGGCCTGTTTTATAATAGTATATATACAGGGTGGCCCATTCATGTGTGGACGGTATGTTACTCATAAACAAATACATTTTGGGAAAAGCTATTTATGGCAAGTTATGCATCAACCCGCCATTTTGAAATTTGGAGTGCTGAATTTTGTATAAAAAAAACTTACGCACCTCGGCTTTTATCTCATTTGTTGCTTTTTCGAATTTTCATTTTTGCTCATACAGGGTGGTCAAAAACGCGAATTGTACTTTTTCTCAAAAATTTTGAATGCATCACCCTGTATATTTGTGCAAGTTTGGATTCAATTCCTGATAAGCCTTTTTTGGTGTAAGGTTTGAATCAGATAAAATCACTGGATTTTGAGTTATTAAGCTTTTAATAGAACAACACACCAACATTAGGGAAAAAAATCACATCATCCATGGAAACAAAACACAAACAGTGGGCTAGTTCCATATTGCCACTAAGAGCCGTTTTACACACACGAGAATTACTCCGAAGATTATGGTCATAATTAAGCCGAAAGTTTTTGCTGTCGTATTACACGTAAAATAATTCTTGTGAAAATTTTCATGGTAAAAATATAAAACCCGTTCTATAGAATAGGCGCGAGAATCGGCGCAGAGGGTTATTTCCGTGCATGTCAATATGAAATTTCAACGTCAATAACATAACATCACTTGACATTTGTGGGTGTGTTCGAGTCGTACGAAGAAGCGTTTATTGTTATTGTTTATTCATAATGTCGTGGAATCGGGAAGAAATTACAGTGTTGTTGGAGGAGTACAAAAAATGGCCAAACCTGTACAAGGTGAAGTCGCCAATTACAAAAACACAAATTTGCGGCCGTCAGGCGCTGGATGCGGTAGTCCGAGCATTGAGAAGTTTTATAATATTAACCAAGATCGCGATTTCAAAAATAAATTTAAATCAACGACGCCTTTCCGCTTATATTGGACGTCATACCCGTTAAGGTTATGTTCATTCGAAAATATTACTCTAATGCGCAGGCGTATCATATGAATTACTCCGAAATTTTGTTTGCTGGTGTCACACAGGATGTAGAGAAAATATTCAATATTTTTTCCTTGCAAATTTTCGACACAATTATGACCATAATTGTCGGAGTAATTCTATTGTGTGTAAAACGGCTTTAAGAGTATAGATTTGACCTAAAAACTAATAACACAGCCAGAACAGTATAAATCAGCTTCAAGCCTAATAGAGGAAAACAATTATAACAACAACATGAACAAATAACTACCACTACTCAAGACCTAATCTACAAAAACTGCTCGAAAATATCTCCACCCTGACGAATACACAGCCGTAGTCTTTAGATAAATGACAGTTGCACATCCCTCAGCATGTGTTCCCTTATGTTCAGAAAAGCATCCTTAATACTTTCCTTCATATTTTCCGGGGTAGATGGTGGATATCTATAAACCTCTTGCTTAAAGTAGCCCCATAGAAAGAAATCCATCGGTGTCATATCTGGTGATCTAGGAGGCCAAGATATTCGACCGATCCAACGATTGTTACTCCAGGAGTCCAAATAGTTATGCACACGACGCAGGTGCACCGTCATGTTGGAAGTCCATAAAATATGCATCCGAATTTGTAGGTTGACATCATCGATAACCAAAGGCAAATGCTAAATCAAAAAATGTTAGTATTCTGTACCTGTTAATCTGTTATCGAAAAAGAAAGGCCCGATAACTTGTCTGCCAATCACTTCTTCCCAGACAGTCAAGCTCCATTTATTTTGGAAATCTAGTTGCCTAACCCAATGAGGGTTTTTCGTCGCATCATTGTGTATATTATGCCTGTTGACAACACCTATACTGTTAAAAGTTGCCTCATCGCCAAAAAGATCCTTATCCAGGAAAGTAGTGTCTTCAGTCACTTTATTTAGCACTATACTACTAAACTCCATTCAAGCTGCGGAATCCTGAGAACGAAGGCCTTGGTGCAAGCATAGGTGATATGGATTGTACCTATGCTTGAGAATAATCCTTTGGAGAGAAGTTCTGCATATATCAGTTTCTGCTCCAATTTGCCGTGTACTTAAATGGGGATTTTCCTGCAACTTTAATAGAACCTCCAACTGATTCGCCTCATTGATTATTTATACATTGTTTAGTATATTCCTCTGCTCCACTTGATTCAAAACGTTCTCGTAGTGTGGAAAATGTTTCCGGCCTTTGATGTCGCATATTAGGGTACCGTTGCTTATAAGTGCGAGATGCTAGGAAACTATTTCTTTGGGCTTCGCCCAAGACGAACACCATATTCACCAGTTCTTCTTTAGAAAAATTCATTTTCAAACACGTTTTTATCATAATGCTAACAAAGATAATTTTGACAGTTTGTAACTAATCAACAATTTATTTGTTTCCAAAGATGATGCGATATTTTAGGGAATCAAGCCGTTCCATAAAAGGTTATAAAAAATTAAATCCAAACTTGCACAAATATACAGGGGGATGTATTTGAAATTCTTGAGAAAAACTACAATTTGCGTTTTTGACCACCCTGTATGGACAACAACTTAAATTGGAAAGAGTAACAAATAAGATAAGTGTGTAAGCTATTATCGATACACAATTCAGCACTCTAAATTTCAAAATGGCGGACTAAGGGGTTGCCGAAGTGGAGGGTTTTTCTAAACAGAACACCTTATACCTGTATCTCAGTAGCTAATTACCAAAACCCCATAGTATGTTATATCAATTTCCTTTTTTTCAATTGGTTTATTCAAATATCCAATAAAATGTGAAGCATTCCATTTGAAAAATCACAGTTTTGATATGTAGGTCGAAATTGGAACACCTTGTATAATGGCCAATATTATAGAAATACGCCCTCAAATGTCATGTATAACGTTCTATTAATAGATTTTTCTAAAATTTCCTTATGAGTAATATTTCGTCCACACATGGATGGGCCACTCTGTATAATGTTTTTATT